AAAGCATTATGATGCAATTACTAAATCACGTAGCTTTACTTTTTAATTTCTCTTTTCTTAGTATTAATACTGCAAAGAAAGGAGTGTCTAAGGCCCTCAGATGGTGCAAGGTTTCTCTCCTCAGCACTTTCTCCAGTGTACAATAGGAGAGAAGAGGTTTTAGTAATAGGCTGGATTCTGAGGGCTTCCATCAACATGATCATTATACTCAGCCATTTCACTGGCTCCCTTTACTTATCTGAATTACTCACTCTCTTCTGCCCATGTAACCAAGGCACAATACTATTGCTGTTACAACAAGCTGGAAAAGCATCAAATGCTAACCCTGCCCAGTCCCAGCTTCTGCTGGCCTAAGCTGACATTTAGGACCACATATGGCACTGACTTGCACACTGTACAACCTCTAAGACATCTATGGGGTGCACAGAATCTAAGTTGAAGCCAAATTCTTCACTAAATTTTCAGTTCCCTGACTAGGACTCCAAAGCCTCGGGACTAATCTGCTCAGACCCAAGTTTGGTGTAGAAAATCCCCCAAATCATAAAGTGGAAGAATGTGCCTGAAAAATGTTCTCTGTGAAGTACTGTGCTATGTGACAAGTTACTTTAGAACAAAGGGAGTGATGCAATTAGAGTTGACAAGTTTCACAAAGCCAAGTGGGACACTGAGAGAAAAAAAAACTATCTATATGAAAATCATAACTAATGAACTCCTGAACAGCAGGAAAAATAAATTTTATTTTAATGTTTACAAAAGCAAAGCATCCTATGCACAAGAAGCCTCCCTAACCACTCATTACCTCTATTTACATGCATTATTGGCAAATAAAACAAACACACAGAAAGCAAGTATTTTTTCATTCTTTGGAAACTGAAGTAATTGGACCAAATTCTCTGCTGATGTAAATGAGCACAACTCCATTGACTTTAGTGGAATTTCAAGAGCTTATACTAGCAGAAAATTTGTCCGATTAATTCTGGCACCACATTGCTGGGTGACTAGAAGTCAGAGATGACTTGCTACTTCTCACCCCTTCTAGATTTTCATTGCTTGTGCTTGCAACTGATTCAAGACACCCAGTAATAAATCTCCCTTCCATCCAAATTGCAACATGCCAAATTACAAGCTTTTATTTACAAGTTATGGCCTCGATATTGCACCAAAGCAATGCCTGGTTTAACTTTACACACCATGAGCAATCCCACTGAAGTTGGTAAAGGTGAATAAAACTAAGCATGTTCACAAATCTTTACAGAATTGGGGCCTGTAAACCTGTATCCATTCCCAACTTCGAGCACATGGTTGCCAGATGTACTAGAAGCTTATTCTGAGGAAGACTTTTCCCTTATCCCATTAACCGTGTAGTTTTCTTAAAATGCTCTCTACCATTGAATGGAGTCATTGGTCAGCTATCAGAGCATGCATGACATGTGATGTCTGTAGGTATGGATGACAATGATCCCCCAATTAATGTGCATTTGAGACATCAATATTTATTTTCATAGAATATCAGGGTTGGAAGGGACCTCGGGAGGTCATCTAGTCCAACCCCCTGCTCAAAGGAGGACCAATTCCCAACTAAATCATCCCAGCCAGGGCTTTGTCAAACCTGACCTTAAAAACCTCTAAGGAAGGAGATTCCACCACCTCCCTAGGTAACGCATTCCAGTGCTTCACCGCCCTCCTAGTGAAAAAGGTTTTCCTAATATCCAACCTAAACCGCCCCCACTGCAATTTGAGACCATCAGGGCTGCCCAGAGGATTCAGGGGGCCCGGAGCAAAGCAATTTCGGGGGCCCCTTCCATAAAAAAAGTTGCAATACTATAGAATACTATATTCTCGTGAGGGCCCCTGTGGGGCCCGGGGCAAATTGCCCCACTTGCCTCTCCCCCACCCCCGCCGGGTGGCCCTGGAGACCATTACTCCTTGTTCTGTCATCTGGTACCACTGAGAACAGTCTAGATCCATCCTCTTTGGAACCCCCTTTCAGGTAGTTGAAAGCAGCTATCAAATCCCCCATCATTCTTCTCTTCTGCAGACTAAACAATCCCAGTTCCCTCAGCCTCGCCTCATAAGTCATGTGCTCCAGCCCCCTAATCATTTTTGTTGCCCTCCGCTGGACTCTTTCCAATTTTTCCACATCCTTCTTGTAGTGCGGGGCCCAAAACTGGACACAGTACTCCAGATGAGGCCTCACCCATGTTGAATAGAAGGGAATGATCACATGCCTCAATCTGCTGTTTTACATTTGAACAAGGGGCATTGTGAGGTTCCCAGAAGCCTATGTCTAAAATGACCAACAAATGCCATTCACGTTTGAAATGCCTGGCATCAAGCTATAATCAGTGAAAGCAGCTTGGTTTTGGTGGTTAATCCCTAGAAGCACCCAAACGTCCTATTTAAAACTTATCAGTTACTTCTCAAATTGGGAGTACCTGTTAAGAACATATATAAATCCTAGTTTGCTTTAAAAAAAATTAAGTTATCAAGAGATAAAGTTTCACTATGGGAAATAGGGTTGAGGAGATATGTGTGGGATCAGGTACAAGTGGTATGACAGCTGATTGGTCCAAAGGTTTCAAAATTTCTTAGGAAAGAAATCCCTTTCAATGGAAAAGTCCTAGTTGTCAAATGGTTAAATAGAGTCATGATTATATAAAAAGTGAATAGCAAAAAAATAATTCACTATACAAATTTTCAGCACTTAAGTTTTAATTTTGTGTATCTGTACACGTATTTTCACATGCATTCTACTTTGTCTACATCTGGAGCCAAATTCTGAGGTGCCATGGACAATCAGGCAAGGCACAGAATGGGCAAGACAGTGAGTTTCTAGCAGTGCATACATGTGCATTACTGCCTCAAACCTGAGGAGAGAGGATGAACTGCAAAACGTCAACTTTGGCTGTGTTCTGCAGCTCTGGCTTCTCAGACACAGGAAGGAATAGAAAGAAAGTAGAAGTATTCCACTCACAGCCATGCTATGCCATTCGTCAAACTGCAGAATGCTCCACCAATAAGAGACATCATACTCCGGCTCAAAGTAGGACTGAATCATACGGGCATCAATAGACAAGAACTGGATCAAGGAAAACCCTGTAGCAGAGGACGGATGCTGCAGGCTCAATGCTACCTCAGTGACAATGTTGGTAAACGCTACGTATAGCAGTGTGCCAGGAAAGATCTCTATAACTGGCTTTGCCTGTGAGCCCAGCTGACAGAAGAGCTGTGCCTGCACCTGGATTCACTCAGAATGTAGTTTTACCACCAGCAAGCTCCCCATTTACAAGCACCAGCTGACCCAGAATTCCAAAGTCATAGACCCAAAATTCCAATGTAAGATTTGCCTAACTTCCTGCCATAGGCTTCAGCTGTTTTCATCCTTATGTGCATTTTCGATGCATATAGTAAGTGGGAATTTGGTTCCCAAATACTGGTCAACATGCAAGATGAAATTTTTATTTCAAAGATGTGGCAGAGAGATAACTGAACCTGTACCAGAACATTTCTCGAGAGGCTCTTTAGGAGCCAGAAGATGTTACATGTATGCATCACTTTATTTAATTTGGCTTAAAAAGAAAGGAAATAACAACATCCAAGCCAAAATGCTAGTTTACTAGAAGTAGGGAGAATACATGCAGATTTGTTTGAGAAAGACCTCAACCCTTTTCCCCTCCCACATGCTTTATGACTATCATTACACAGAAATATACATTTGTACAAATCCAGAGTTTTTTTGGAAAGCATCAAGACTAAGCCAATAGGATAATTAATGCAGTTCCAGTGCAATAAAGCCTCTATGCTCTAGCCATCCAGTATCCTGTCATGTATTCTGCTTGGGGGTAGGAAGAGGGCTTACTACTGAAGAACTGACTTCCAATTTAATCCCCATTTCTAGTACTACAGGCTATGTCCTCAAGTTTTCTTCCTTGCATTCCTATCTTGGTATTTGGATACAGAGAGAGATTTTAGTAAAATGGGGAAGGACAGAAACATAGTAACAGAAGAGGTGTTGGTTTTGTTTGCCAATTGTTTATTATAGGGTGGATGGATAACAGTTAAAATTTTTAAATTGTGTTGGATATTTTAACTTCTACATACAGAGCTTCTTATAAATTCTTTACTTTAAAAATTGTACCATTTCCTCAGTGTAAGAGAGCTGACTAGTGATGCACCTGTTTTTAACCACAAATGTCAGAAATGTATCTGGGAATCAGCAGGACAGCTCTTGGGATCTAAACAGAGAACTAGGAGTTAAGAGCCCTACTTTCGAGTCCTAGTCCCATCATATTCATTGTGAGCTGGAACAAGTGACAATTCTCCATGCCTCAGTATCCATCTAAACAGAAAAGGAATAAGAAATACTGCCATGCTTTCCTCACAGAAGGAAAGATTAATCTTTGTGAAGTGCTATATAAAAAGGCTTTGTCTTCATATAGCTGTTTTGACTAAGGAATGATAGGCAGAGCAACCCTGTAACTTAGACTGACAAGAGCCAGCACTATTGGAGGAATGCCAGCCAATCTACCTCTATCATTTGCATTAGGCAGTGGCCTGCAAACAATACCAGATGTGTAGTCTACAATCATCAAAATACTAAGATGCAAGACCAATTTATGGGTAGATATTTCCAGAATATACCTACAATGTATTTGCTGTAAAGACATACTTTAACGGCAGATTCTCTCTCCTGATGAAGTGTGCCTGTTTTCTATTTAAACGTGACTGGCGTCGAACGCACGTAGCATTTGCCAAAGAAGGATTAAGTTCTACAGTATATTCCCTCACCATAACACCATACAATCATTTTGAGTGTTGTAAGAGTTAGCACCATGGGTTTAATGCAGGTGGGGGACAAGGTAGAATAACCTTACATCAGATGGATTATTTTAGGCTATGAGATGTACTTTGTTTCATATAAATATATATTTTTAAAGTTTTCTCCCCGTTTAATCACATTCAAAATACCATTCCAAGCTTGCATTGAAAGAGACAGATGATAATTCTACAAAACAGGTGAAAATGTATTTTTTCAGGAAAGCAATTTCTTTCTCCAATTAGCATTAACTGACATTTATATTAGAAGACTCCATATTTCAGAAATTAAAGTTATTTAATGTTAAATGTTCTTTTCAGCAGATTAAGAGGTAGGTATATTTCCACAATAGAAGAAAAATTGTAGCAGACACTAAATCAAAACAAGGAGAGTCTGATAAGTCAACAGACTCTGTTCAGCATATAAACATAACTGTGTCTTGAGATATCTCTAATTAATGATAAGAGAGTTTGTATTTTCAGATAAAAACATACAACATCATAATTTGGAATTTAATAAATTTCTGGCAGAAACAGAAATATTCAAAAGCTGCCTTTTTCCACATAGAAATGTGGGCTTCAACAAATCATTGGATCATTGGTAATATTAACCTTTGGACTGCCAAAACATGTTATTTACTGCAATTCTTTCTTACATTCACCAGCAATCTAAAAGTTTACACAGAGATCATCAAATGCTTGATAATTACATAATTACAACAGAAACTTAACTTGAAGTATTTTTGTTAAAACAATCTTCATAAATAATGAAAATATCTGTGTTCTAGCTCTTCGGTAACCTAAGGGTTAATTGGTACATTGTGTTTCTTTTTTTTTCCTTTTTCTTTTTAAACCAAACTGGAGGTTCCCCACTGCCAGCAATGGTTAAGGCCTGGATAAGTTACTCTCCTTTTGCTTTTTCCTTTTTCTGCTTTTTTCCATTTTCCACCACTAGATTGTTTTCTAGTTTGCTTACACCGTTTGCAACAGCACCATTCAATATTTTGCCATTCTTAATGGGTTCCTTGGGCATTTTATATGTCCGATAGTAGAAGTTACCAAACAAGAAAATAAAGGTGATGGCATAGATCATTACACCCCAGTGCATCCATTTAGGGAAGGGACAGTCGATATAAATAGACATGGCTGTGTGGCCAAGAGTCACGTGGAACTGAATCTGAAAAAAGAAAATATTGCATAATAAACCATTTGATGCTATATTAGGTTTGACTATACCAACTTTTATTGAAAATACAATAATGTATTCATTATAAAGAAAAACACAATTCATGGTTTACATAAGTAATATATAATTGCAATATTTCTCTACACTAACAAATACAAACAGTAGTAATACATTTACATCCACAGCATTTTAAGTAAGTTACTAGAGATTAGACTGCTGTTCCTTTACAGTATCTGTCATAGAATCATAGAATATCAGGGTTGGAAGGGACCTCAGGAGGTCATCTAGTCTAAAACCCTGCTCAAGGCGGAACCAATCCCCAGACAGATTTTTGCCCTACATCCCTAAATGGCCCCCTCAAGGATTGAATTTACAACCCTGGGGTCAGTAGGCCAATGCTCAAACCACTGAGCTATCCCCCCAAGATCATGGAAAGCTGCACAGCAGCTATACAAATCTCAGTACTCTAGGAACCAGAACTCTGGTCTCAAAACAACATATGCATATGCTGATTATAAACATGGGCACCTCAACTTCTGATACCCTCCAAACCCTGTTGCCAAAGGTGGCTGCACTCCCTACTATTCCCACCCTCTACTGCTGAGGAAGGTCAAGCCTTCAATGCTTACAAATAATTCTTTTAAAATTTAATAAAATTATTTTAAAAAGCTCTTCCTTTCCCTCAGCTCCAACCACTATTTTTATTTACCATACAGAGACAACTATTGTAAAGGGCTGCTCTACCTACAACCTCACACTGAAATAACAAATTAAATGAGTCTTAATTTAAACGGTCTGTTATTTCAGTGCAAGTCTGCGTGTGGACACGTCTTTCAGAATACAAATATTCTATTCTGACTGAATTAAAAGTGTCCACACACAGACTTGCACTGAATTAACAAAAGGTGCGTATTAAAACTGATTCCGTTATTTTGGTGCAAGTTTGTGCATAGACAAGGTCTATAAAAACAACAGGAAAAAACCTTTTAAATTTTACATCTGCCAGTTAACTCAAGCCTACATTTTGAAGCTGATAAGGAATACAGAATTACTTTTCTGTTCTGAGGCCCCATGATTAAAAAAAAATATGGACATGGATTGGCGCACGGGTACTTACTGTAAAAAGTAGCATATAATATACAACCTTTGGTCTATATATTTTAAAAGATTATAAAACACAGCATGTAGATCATAATTTAATACAATACATGCTATCATCATGTACAGGGGAAAAGACAAAGTTTGGGCAAAGAAGAAATTATCTAAGAAAAATCTTTGATCTGTGACATTAAAAAATGAAAATGGGAGTGACTGCTTATCGCTTACCCCATTATATGCCACAGCCCAACAGTGATTGCAAGTCACTACCTCTTGGCTGCTGTTTGGTAGTTTATGTGGAAAGAGTAAGTGGACTCAGTCTAGCACATTATGGATTTTTGTTCACACAACACAAAACCCATAATTCACAGCTGGAACCAAAGGACACTCTTGTTGACAGTCTGAGAAACCAGGAAATGAATAGACCTGGAGGCTCTCCCCCCTTAGAGGAGATCCCTGGTAGTTCAGAGTTGAAATCGCTCAGTAGGGCACCATTAGGAAACTGTCATCACTTTGTGTGTTGCACCTGCTCTGAGGTTTGAAATACATGCTTCAATCACCAATGCTGTTTCACTAACACTAAAATTCATTTAAAAATGTAAAAAGAATGAATGGAAACATCATCAGACCCTTAACTACAGTCTGCACTAGCAGGTGCTGCTGTGTAAATAAGAAGATTAAATATTGAACTTTACAGTGATTGTCTTTTCCTTTGAAATAAAATATTACGTTAAGGGCACAGAATAGTTTCATGGTATAACTGCCTTCTGGTAATCAGGTGTTCATTATTTCTGTCATGCCACTATAATCAAACTGATACAGATTTGATTATTTTGCAAAAGCAAAATAACAGTTTAATTACTATTATTGGCTAATTGCATATTTTGATTGTTTTAAAGAATAATCAAAGAGCAATTTTATGTGTAATTATTTCAAAAGTCCATTGCACCTCTAGAAATACATCAGCTTCTGACTTGATCTGTGAATAAGTGACAGCCATCCAGCCTCGTGCTTGACTGGTACACCTTTCGTTTGACAGGGAGAGGGAGAGAGAGAGAGAGAGATATTTTACTTACCAATTGTAATATGGTCAAGTATCGTTTCCACCACAGATATTTCTGAAATTTAGGGCCACAGGCAGCTAATCCATAGTACATGTACATAACAACATGAATAAAAGAATTCATTTGGGCTCCAAAAAAAGCTGTTCAGATAAAACAACAACAACAACGTGTTATTTGTAAACATGAAAACCAAAAAGTTACCTCTATTTTTTTGTATTACACAGTAAAAATAAAATTGGCACATTTTGTACTTACAATCTTGTATGTATTGTTAGCAATAATAGTAACATGCATAAAAACTGAACTTAAGTTGAAATCCATATCTTTTGTCCATTAGACAGGTTTGACTATGTAGGCTTGAGCCTATAAACATGTACCAAAATTAAGTAACTTGGTCATGTGAGTAGTCCCATTAACTTCAATGGGACTACTCACATGAGCAAAGTTATATGGGTGTTTGCAACATGCAATACACCACTTTTAACAATCTATTGTTAAAAAAATTAACTTTAAAACCATAGCACTGATATTTCAGGATTGCCCTTAACATTTAATAATTCTTTACATTTAGGCTAATATTGCCATCTACGGATGGCTAAAATTAGGCACCCAAATACATAGAATGATTTTCAAAACAACTGAGCACCCAGCAACATCCATTAACATCAATGAATTACAGTCTCCTGAAAACCAGAACCACTTACATAGGTGTCTAAGGACTTAAGTATCGATGGAGTTAATTGGGAACAACTCCATTTGTGGACACTCTTATTTCAGAATAAGAGTGCCTTGTTCCTGTGGGTTAACCCTAACCAGAAGTAGCACCGCAAATATGGAGTTCATCAGGAACATGTGTAGACAAGCCCTTAAAATATGGACTTGAATGTCAAACTTTAGACACTCACTCTTGAAAATCTTGGCCTGAAAACTTTTCAGTAGAAAGCACTGTTTGATAGGATGCAACAGCAGGAGAGGCTGTTCTAGATTTGATTTTGACAAATAGGGAGGAACTGGTTGAGAATTTGAAAGTGGAAGGCAACTTGGGTGAAAGTTATCATGAAATGGTAGAGTTTATTATTCTAAGGAATGGTAGGAGGGAGAACAGCACAATAAAGACAATGGATTTCAAGAAGGCAGACTTTAGCAAACTCAGGGAGTTGTTAGGTAAAATCCAATGGGAAGCAAGTCTAAGGGGAAAAACAATTGAAGACAGTTGGCAGTTTTTCAAAGAGACATTATTAAGGGCACAAGAACAAACTATCCCACTGAGTAGGAAAGATAGGAAGTATGGCAAGAGACCACCCTGGCTTAACCAGGAGATCTTCAGTGATCTAAAACTCAAAAAAGAGTCCTACAAAAAGTGGAAACCTGGTCAAATTACAAAGGATGAATATAAACAAATAACCCGAGTATGTAGGGACAAAATTAGAAAAGCCAAAGCACAAAACAAGATCAAACTAGCTAGGGACATAAAAGGAAAAAAAGAAAACATTCTACAAATATATTAGAAGCAAGAGGAAGACCAAGAACAGAGTGGGCCCATTACTCAATAAGGGGGGAAAGACAATAAACAGAAAATGTGGAAATGGCAGAAGTGCTTAATAACTTCTTTATTTCGGTTTTCACCAAGAAGGTTGGTGGCGATTGGATGTCTAACATAATGAATGCCAGTGAAAATGAGGTAGGATCAGAGTCTAAAATAGGGAAAGAGCAAGTCAAACATTACTTAGACAAGTTAGATGTCTTCAAATCACCAGGGCCTGATGAAATGCATCCTAGAATACTCAAGGAGCTGATTGAGGTGATATCTGAGCCATTAACAATTATCTTCGAAAAGTCATGGAAGATGGGAGACATTCCAGAAGACTGGAAAAGGGCAAATATAGTCCCCATCTATAAAAAGGGAAATAAGGACAACCCAGGGAATTACAGACCAGTCAGCTTAACTTCTGTACCTGAAAAGATAATGGAGCAAATAATTAAGCAACCGATTTGCAAAAATCTAGATGATAATAAGGTGATAAATAACAGTCAGCATGGATTTGTCAAGAACAAATTGTGTCAAACCAACCTGATAGCTTTCTTTGACAGGGTAACAAGCCTTGTAGATGGGGGGGGAAAGCGGTAGATGTGGTATATCTTGACTTTAGTAAGGATTTTGATACTGTCTCGCATATGACCTTCTCATAAACAAACTAAGGAAATACAACCTAAATGGAGCTACTATAAGGTGGTGGCAAAACTAGTTGGAAAACTGTTCCCAGAGAGTAGTTGTCAGTGATTCACAGTCATGCTGGAAGGGCATAACGAGTGGGGTCCTGCAGGGATCAGTTCTAGGTCTGATTCTGTTCAGTATCTTCATCAATAATTTAAATACTGGCATAGAGAGTACACTTACAAAGTTTGCAGACGATACCAAGCTGGGAGGGGTTGGGCTGCAAGTGCTTTAGAGGATAGGATTAAAATTCAAAATGATCTTGACAAACTGGAGAAATGGTCTGAAGTAAATAGGATGAAATTCAATAAGGACAAATGCAAAGTACTCCACTTAGGAAGGAACAATCAGTTGCACACATACAAAATGGGAAATGACTGCCTAGGAAGGAGTACTGCAGAAAGGGATCTGGGGGTCATAGTGGATCACAAGATAAATATGAGTCAACAGTGTAACGCTGTTGCAAAAAAAACAAACATCATTCTGGGATATATTAGCAGGACTATTGTAAATAAGACACGAGAAGTAATTCTTCCGCTCTACTCCGTGCTGATTAGGCGTCAACTGGAGTATTGTGTCCAATTCTGGTCGCCACATTTCAGGAAAGATGTGGACAAATTGGAGGAAGTCCAGAGAATAGCCAACAAAAATGATTAAAGGTCTAGAAAACGACCTATGAGGGAAGATTGAAAAAACTGGGTTTGTTTAGTCTGGAGAAGAGAAGACTGAGAAGGGACATGATAACAGTTTTCAAGTACACAAAAGGTTGTTACAAGGAGGAGGGAGAAAAATTGTTGTTCTTAACCTCTGAGGATGGGACAAGAAGCAATGGGCTAAAATTGCAGCAAGGGCGGTTTAGGTTGGACATTAGGAAAAACTTCCTAACTGTCAGAGTCGTTAAGCATTGGAATAAATTGCCTAGGGAGGTTGTGAATCTCCATCATTGGGGATTTTTAAGAGCAAGTTGAACAAACACCTGTCAGGGATGGTCTAGTAATACTTAGTCCTGCCTTGAGTGCAGGGGACTTGACTAGATGACCTCTTGAGGTCCCTTCCAGTTCTATGATTCTATGAAAAATATTATTTAGATATTAAATATACTTCAATCTTTAAAAAAAATTAATAGTTGCACTTTAGACATGCATGTTCTAACAGATACTATACATTTGCAAAGTAGTGATGGCCTAGGATTCCAAACAGCAAATCACACATTGCTACACAGCTAACATTGCCTAAAGGATTACTGTCATGCAGGAGAGAGTGTCTTTTCTTGCCAGAACTCATGGTAATTTCCTCTGCAGGGTAGGATACCCCTTGCAAGACAGTAATACTTTTTTTTGTCAACATGGACTGTAGGATTTCCCTGTAATTTCATTTGAAAATCCTCATGTATGGCTCAACCTTAAAGAGACACTTGTCAACTTGAATTTTCAAAAATTGATTCATTCAAAATATAGCATGTAAAGAATTTTTACTTTTGAAAAACTTCTCACACTTTTATAACATTTTTACTGCTCCCCTGCTGATGCTTGGAAAAGTCTTTTGGGTGGGCCCCAAAGCAACATTAAACATGCTTGAGCCCACCCCCTTTTTGCTGTGCACATCCATGCCTGCCACTTCTTCAGTGTCACCTTTGCAGCTGCTGGTACTGGTGAATGACCTCTTGCAGGTCTTGAGGAAGAGCAAGTAGCATGGGGACAGAGAAGTTAGCCTCCCTTGTAGCCTAGTGATTAGGCAGCTCCCTCAGAATGTAGGCAACGCTAGTTCAATTCCTGTCTGGCTAATAAGCAGAAAGAATTAGAATTTAGTTCTCCCATCTCTCAAGAGAGTGTCCTAATATTATGGCATGAGTCTTACTCAATCTCTCCTGTTAAAGGTGTATTACTTTGGAGAAATGAACAGTGACCAGGAGCGGGGACTTGCACTTGGGTCTCCTACATCATAGGGGAGTGGCCTAACCTCCAGGCTATGGAATCATTCTCACTCTTTCCCTGACCCCATGACTATTCGTTGTTGTTATGAATTATTGTGAATTGGCACTCTGATAGAAAATTTAGACATGCTGGTATGTAGGCAATGTGTCATCTGCTAGAAAACAATGGAACAGACAGGGCCGGCGCAACCCATTAGGCGACCTAGGCACTTGCCTAGGGCGCTACAATTTGGGGGGTGGCGACTGTGGCAGTATTTCGGCGGCAGGACCTTCCACCGCCTCTGTGGGGGGCGGCATTTCGGGGCGGGACCTTCCGCCACCTAGGGCGGCAGAAAAGCTGGCCGCGCTCCTGGGAACAGATATACACAAAGAAATCTGTAACAACTTGACACGTATCCTAGTTTATATTCGGTGAAATCCTGACCCCATGACAGGCCTCTTTTGCTGCAGAAGGGCCACAACACAGACCTGCTGCATTTCTTCTGTTGATACCAGGAATTGTAGAGACGGAATAACTGGACCACAGAGTTGAGCTGAGCTTTGAAATGGCACCTTGCATAGGTTTATGGGAGTCAAGGGCACTCAGCAACTTACAAGATCGAACTATAAGGGGCTAAAAGGTAAGGGGTTCACTGGAAAATGGCAGTTGGGACTACAGACTGCACATATTTAATGGTCACAAACCTCATGTAATGAGTACAGTGAACAGTAATGACTGAACATGCAGTGAACCCAGGATTCCTCTCACCCTAAGGCTGGATTGGGGAGAATTCCATCCTCCAACTCCTGTACGCAAAGCTGTAGATATGAACTTCAGCCCATGGGCTGAAATATTTATATAACCACACATTTTATATTCTAATGTACATATAGTGCGTGAGTGTGTAAAAAATCCAAAATATACATTTTAATATATGAATATTTTAACAAAGGATTAATTTTAGTCTGGATTGCATGGATTATTATTGCAAATTATTTTTATAGTTATTTTTACAGCCCTTTACAAACAGAATGGGACATTTTCTTCCAACCTCTGCCTCAGCAGAATTCGAGAGAGACAAGGCAAAGCAAGACATGACACAGGGAAACAATGCAGGAAAAGAAGGGTGTGGAGAAAACAATGGAAGTAAGCTTTCCTTGATGTGAAATTTATAGGAACAGAAAGGAAAAGAACGTTAATTATATAGATTTGCGTCATTATAAATGGACTACAACTGGTTGACACGGGTTTATTGCTAACCTTCAAATGAGTAATTCAGATTTTGATACTTGTTTTGTTATAAAACAAAACAAACCCAAAACTCAGTTATAGAGCCAACTTCTATTCTAGTAAAAATTCAGAATAGCTCCATTAACTTCAATGGATTTAGATTGGAGTAACAGAGAAGAAACTGGCCCATAGTTCTGATTCCTAGTTCTCTGTAGCTGCAAAATATTAGATTAGGCAGGGTTGTTGTAGCTGTATCGGTCCCAGGATATTAGAGAGACAAGGTAGGTGAGGTATTATCTTTTATTGGACCAACTTCTGGTGAGAGAGAGAAATTTATCTGCCTGCTCCATATAGCAAGGTGGCAAATTTTTAAAGAGGGAATTTGTAAAAACGGAATTTCAGTCTTGCATTTGATGCCTATGAGTAAAGTGTTTTGCAATTCATAAAACTACAACTCTGTTCTCTCTTTCTCCCCCTCATTTCACACAGAAGGAGTATGCTTCTTATGTAACTGCTATGATCCAATGCTGTTTGAATAGACTTATCATATAGTATTCAGTTAACTCCATGAATACTGGTTTCTTTATTAATTCCAAATAGGCTGATTCTCACTCTTATGTCTATATTGCCTTAAGAGAAAAAGACAGTTCACTCACCTTGTCCTCCTGGAACCCACTTGATACCAATCCACCACAAGGTGAACATAGTGAAATGGTGATAGACATGAAGGAAACTGATTTGGTTAAATTTCTTCCTCAAGATGAAAAATATTGTGTCCAAGTACTCAATTCCTTTTGAGACAAAGTACCACCATAAAGCACCAGCTATCTGCAATATAGGAACAAAGATCCTAATGATTCTTAAATAAATAATTAAATGAAATTAAAGTTAATTACATCAATGTGCTGTGAGGAAGAAATGGAAGATACGACTAGCATTTTTGGCAGTTTCTATTCCATTTCTGAAAAATCCCCTGAATTCTGGGTTATTTACAGCAGGAGTGGAATCATAGGTTAGGAGAAGTCAGTTATGATTTAACTATTAAACATCTGGCAACATCAGAGCATTAGATTTCTTTGGATTTTACTCCAGCCAAGGATGTAGTTTTTTGTAACTTCTGAACATGGGTTCAATATACTATTTTATAAAGGATACCGTATTTTACAATTTAGCCATCTATAAAGAGAAGCAGTTTACTATCTCTCATGTACTTCCTCTTTACCTTAGACTCTTCTACAGAGATTGCTACTGAAAGTCCTGTATGCAAGCAGACCACAATTTGACATGGACACAGAAACAAGGAGGCACATACACCACGATATGGTTAAATGCAGAGGCCACAACTTTACTAAAACCCTTAACCAATGAAGACCATTCCCCAATACTACCTAGCTGGGCTGTTCCAGTGTGGATTTCAACTGGGTAACAATGGTGCCTGATTCTACAAACTTGACAGGCACATGTGAGGGCAATACCCTCTTTACATGCTCAGGCCTGCTCTGGAAGTCAGAGTCTATCCTGCTCCCTTCCTCCATGAAGAAGATAGGAGAATGGAGAAAAGGGGAGCCATACACTGAACAAGACACACGCCATCATCATGCAACAAATTGCTCTGAGCTCATGCCCAACCAGCCCACTGGGTTACAGGGGATTCACATTTGACCATTTTTTAACCCACCAATGACAATGGAGCCCGCTAAAGTTCTGACAATGTAATTTACCTTGTCCAAATCCAGACCTCAGATATGCTGAATGGAAGGTGAAAAACCCTACACAGCAGTTTGCCAATTTTGCCATATGGGAACAATTCTTTCCAGTCCCCAAACAAAGTTTGACAATTACCCTAGCCCAGGGATTGGCAACCTTTGGCACGCAGCCCATCAGAGAAATCCGCTGGCAGGCTGGGACGGTTTGTTTACCTGCAGCGTCCGCAGGTTCGGCCAATCGCGGCTCCCACTGGCCGCGGTTTGCCATTCCAGGCCAATGGGGGCTGCGGAAAGCGGCACGGGCCCAGGGATGTGCTGGTCGCCACTTCCCACAGCCCCCAATGGCCTGGAACGGTGAACTGCAACCAGTGGGTGCTGCAAATTGGCCGAACCTGCGGACACTGCAGGTAAATAAACCATCCCGCCCCACCAGCGGATTTCCCCGATGGGCTGCGTGCCAAAGGTTGCCGATCCCTGCCCTAGCCCCAGCATCGTAAAAGATCTAGCTCATTCAATAAGGGTGAGTAAGGTCAGGGCTCAGGGCTGGATTAAGAACTCTCATGGCCTTGGGCACATATTCTAAGCCACCTCCTGAAAAAACAATCAAAAACCCCCCGAAACTTTGAACCTTCCTGATATGATGAAAAACCTGTTATTTAAAGAATTAACAGAATAAGGGAACAAAACATGCACCATAGCTGACATTAAGAATTAGCTTTAGCTAGCAATTAATATTTACAGTTAATACGTTTCCTCAGAAGTACTGCCTGCTCAATATCGCATGTCAGTTTAGACACTAAACACTTTAGCAATTCCATGCAAGGACTGACAGAGAAAACAGATAACTAGTTCACTACAAAGGAAGCAGAAATAGAGCAATTTGGTTTCATGTACAGACTACTGCTGCAGCCAAATATAGTGGAATTCAGAAACAGTATTCACTAGAGCAAGATCATCTAGAATTACTACCCAACTTTGCGCAGACTTTGTCTTATCAATTCTTCTCCAAAACAATTTACAAAAAAAGCAAAAATAGGCATTGATATCAAAACAGCTCTCTCTAGAGACCTGATATACACTATTCTAATTCTCGGATATTTCATAAAAATGTAGTATTTCATACTGACACTGTGTTCAATAAACAACCCAAATTATAATCAGGCTTATTTTTCAAGCTTTTAAGACTAATTTCTAAGATAGTAATTTTTGTTTTTGATAAAGACGTAACAGCAAAAAAATAGCCATAGAGGTAAAGCAATGCATTGTAAACACAAATAACTGAAATGCAGTAACAAACATACACTATAATTAATAATGTGACATAGTGAATGGTGTGTCTGATAGGTGAAAAAAACAAATACCATTGCTATGGGCATTTCTCTCAATGTAAAAGCTATACAAAACAATTCATACCTTTTGTTTGCAGCTGTTTTTTTCTGAGATTTAAGCAAACTAAAGTCAGTGATTAGGTTGGCAAAGTTCATTTCTTGGACCAACTCTGTTCCCTCAAAAGCATTCAAACTGTTTTGCTGCACTGTGGATCTTGGTTCTTTTTTTATCCTATCCATCTTTGAAAATGACTGCTCTCCTTCACATTTAGTCACAGATAGGTTGAGAAAAATTCATAGGCCAGTGTCAACTTTAGAAAATGTAGACACCAGACAACTGTGAGGTAGCAGCTGATGCAGTGCATATGGTAATTTGTTTCATTTTGTGCAGAGAACTGACACTGAAAGAGTTTGTCAAGAAAGTTTTGGTCCAAGTCTTGAGGATAAACTGCTGTATATCTGCGAACTTCATTGACATACACTCAGGGCCGCCCAAAGGATTCAGGGGGCCTGGGGCAAAGCAATATCGGGGGCCCCTTCCATAAAAAAAAAGTTGCAATACTATATTCTCGTGGGGGCCCCTGCAGGGCCCGGGGCAAATTGCCCCACTTGCCCCCCCTTCTGGGCGGCCCTGCATACACTGAACCCAGTTTAAACAGGTCTTCAAAGCACTCATATAGCACACTGAAAGCATCTAGTCTGTGACGTAGACAAGTTTGTCAGTTCTGACAAAAAATGTTTCAGTGCAAAACTGATGGCTTCATTCAAGTACTGGCTCTACTGCCTCTTCAGACTCACCCTCAATTGGTTTTCTTTTACGGGGACGACAAACTCATGTTGATAGTACAACAGATTCCACTTACTAGTGATCCGGATATTAACAACTTCCAGTTACTAGCAAAATTTTGCCAGGAACCAATCCCAACCCAATGACTTTAATATTAATGGGATTTGGATATTGGCAATGGCATGCCATTTATTAACAATATTGTTTTTGAAAGAAAGGCTACACCTGCAGGCAGGTTTATGAGGTTGCAGCCAGGGAAGGAAGCACTGGGACATACGGAGCACCTGCCACAGGAAGGTTTGCAGGGCTGAAGCCAGGGCAGGCACATCCCAGCAATTCCTTCCCTGGCTGCAGCCTCGCAAACCTGCCTTTCGCTTATTAGCAACTGCCAGATAATGGCAACTTTTTTCTGCCATTTCCGAGGGATTGCTAATAAAGTAAAATATACTGTATTCAGAAGTAGCATACACATTTTCTTTGCACTGAATTCAAAATCCTCAAACTGTTCACATAATATCCCAACAAATGTTTCCAGGGAGCACAGTACACGAACACCAACACTTAGATCTATGTCCATCTTCTGTAGCTGGGTGCTGGTCAGTTTGAACTGCTGAAGCACAGTGTCCAAAAGAGTGCCATGACAGCTGTCTCCAATTGTTCCATTTTCATCTGAAGATAAGTTGCATATAAACAAGTGTCCGGAGACTGATTTATATTTTTTGAAAGACCTTCCAAGGCTTGTTGAATACTGCTATAGTTTTGACACAATGGCTTGGTAGAATCAGCACAATTACACCACTGAGTATCTGACAGACTTTTGAGAGTCAACAATCTCTGGCTAGTGTCAGTATTTATGTTGTGAAAATGGATTTCCATCAATATATTGAGGCAGAGTGGAAAGAATAGAGTCACTGCATAGCCCCCCAAAAATGACTGCATCTGAGCAATTGTTAACACTGTTGACTCCGACTGAACGTAGTATTATCATACGGTTGTCCACAGCAGACAGACACATCCAAAACTTATTTTTTTATCATAGCCACCACAGCTTTGGCCATTTGCACATGTGGTTCTCAGGTAGCTGAAGCTCAATGAATTTCACAATTATATGCCCCTCTGAATTGAGAAATCAGAAGATGAATGTGAGCTGGTCTACATGCACTACATCAGGAGTTATATCAACAGTTACAGAAAAATATTTGGCTTGCTGTAATTCTGCTGCTATAGTATTTTTAATTATCATTCCCATCAATTCAATGAATATCAGAGACAGCTGACGACATATAGGAGGGCTTAATTTTCCCCTTCTGTCCAAATGTAGCTAGGTGGTCAGCCAGAAATTACTCTAACTGTGATATTAATTCCAAAATCCCAAAATAATTTCTAATGCTTTCGGATTCTAATACATCATCCTGGCCATGGAAACCAAGCCCATGAGCACTTAAAGACTTTATAACTGCCACCACATGCTGAAGAACATCTCTTTGGTACTGCTCTTCTGAATTAAATTGGTGTGCCAGATCACAGTACACAGCGCACAGTCAACTAGTGGAACTCCTTGCCTGAGGAGATTGTGAAGGCTAGGACTATAACAGGGTTTAAAAGAGAACTGGATAAATTCATGGAGGTTAAGTCCATTAATGGCTATTAGCCAGGATGGGTAAGGAATGGTGTCCCTAGCCTCTGTTTGTCAGAGGGTGGAGATGGGGATGGCAGGAGAGAGATTACTTGATCATTACCTGTTAGGTTCACTCTCTCTGGGGCACCTGGCATTGGCCACTGTCGGTAGACAGGATACTGGGCTGGATGGACCTTTGGTCTGACCCAGTACGGCCATTCTTATGTTCTTAAAAACGGGACATCTGGTCACCCTACACACTGGTACATACATTAATTTACATATTCAAATTGTAGTTGAAGTACATTGGTATTCATCTAAAAACAGTCAGGCCACATATCAAAAATGCTCAAACCATTTTCAAGGGACGGGTTTGCAAGTGTTATTAAATAAATATGTAAAATCGTGAACAGAAATTCCTGCTCTGACAGTAATGAACACAGGATACATATATGTGTTAGGGCCCCATAAATAAAAAATGGAAGATGAAATATGTAAGCTCATAATTAAAGGTCTCCCATGTCTTCTGAGGCCCCTGTCCATTAAAATGGCCCTGGCAGGGCTGGAACAGAGCCAAAATGGCAGGAGGCCAGCAGAAAGCAAGAGCTCCCTGCAGTAAAAAGCAAGCAGAAGCCACCCTTTCCTCCACCTTCCTGGCAGGATGGCTCCATTGTTCAGTGGTGGTAGGTGTACTGGGCTCCATTACATGGAAGCCATGTAGGACAGCCCCCTGCATGGGAGGTGGAAGGAAAGAGAGAGAGAGGAGCTGCACACTCCCCCTCAAATACATAAACTGAGTAGGGAGGAGAAGGGGGATGTAGGAGGATACGTAGCACTGCCCCAGTTGTTTCTGCTTGGGGATGTCTCCCTCCCCAACCTGAGCAGGAGCAAGGGGGATGTCTCAATTGCCTCTGGATCCATCAAGTCACACCCTGGATAGTGAGGTGAGCATTTTAGGTTAGGTAAAGGTTGGAAGGAGAAAGCATCACAGGAGCAGACGCTGCAGTTCTGCTTTGCAGAGTCAGCGAGCTCCCAGAAGGGTAACAACACAGTTTATTGTTGCCAATCTGCATGCTTTGCATGTTAATTGCTGAATGCCTGCTTCATCATCTCTGCATATATTTTGAAACCAATGCAGATGCTAGGGAGGTGAGGCAGACTCATTAGTTTATATGAACAGAGACAAAACTGGGTAATTTCTGTCATAACAGGGAGAGGGAGAGTAGATGAAAGAAATAAACAAAGACAACTGCCAGAGCTGGGAGTTCCCAGATATATGGACAAGCCAAAAGAAGTTTTAAGATACATAATGCTCAATAAGTAGCACTTCTGTTTCTGGGCCAGGCAGTCATATATTTAACTCCCACAGCAAGGCCTGGCGTCACACCCATTGGTGACACTGTAGTACAGTAACTGCTCTTAAAGAAACCCTGGAACAAGAAGCAGTGTTTGAAGATTAATGTGGATGGCAGAGTGTGGAAGTAAAAGTGAGGTCTGGTAGTCAGACAACCTGGTTTCTATGCCCAGCACACTGTAGGCTTGCCATATGACCTCGAGCAGGTCACTCAATATTTATAGTCCAGGAGCCTTAGAATTCTACCTGTCCTGCAGATTATTCACGTCCTGTTAGGTGAATTCAAGTGAACAACACTGAATCCATTTAAAAGACATTCCCTTCCTGTAAGGCATGAATAATTTTAAAGATCCAGGGTGGTATTTGCCTCCGATTCCCCATTTCTCAGTGGGATTATGCCTACCCAGTTTTTTTTTTAAAACAGAACCTCAAAATCCCCACCTAAAGGGTGCTACATAAGTAGAAAATATCAGTTGCATGCTCTGCTCAACAGCTATAAATAATTCAGTTTTGCTACTACTTATCACTTACAAAGAAGTTGACAGGTTTCAAGTGCTGTAAAGTCTTTAATTATCCCAATACCCCTAAGGATTGAGGTACGGCCTCTATTTTTATAGATGAAAAAATGAAACAAAGAAATGTTAAGTTGCTTGTCCAAGGTCAAGCAGCCACTTGGAGATGGGGATAGGAAAGCATGCATGTCCATGCTCTGTTCAATTAAGTAATATATCAAGAACAGACAGGCACCATTAAACTTGCTTTGTAAAGCACCAAAAATGTAGGACCTAACTGATAGTTGTATTTTTGATAAAGTTGCTTAATATCAAATTCAACAGAAAGAGTAACAATGAAATAATTCAATTAATAAAAATAATTAATTAAAAATAATATACAGTACTAAATATTCTTTAAACCAATAATGTAATTATTATAAGATTTCTTTCCTGGGAGCTTTTATATGAGTCAAATCTAAGTCTGTTAGGACACCAGATGGCCCAGAAAGATTACATTACTGCCTAAGATTAAGGGGTCAGCAACAGATCCAACTCCATGACCTCTGCACACTGCAAGCTTTTTTAAAGATGACTTCATGTTCACATTAACAATTTTAACCTAAGGCCTTGTCAGTAGTAGGTTTTTTTCACCAGATCCAAACCAGGGTAAGCTGACTGGTACAAGGCCTGTTTTACACTGGTGTAGTGCAGCTATGCTGGGATTTGCACCAGTGTATCTATGCAAGTGAAAATGCCCAGAATAGACAGGGCCTAACTATTTTCAAAGAGTTTAAAGGCCAGAAAAGACCATTAGATCATCTAGTTTAATCTGAAAGTATGTAATGCTTCATGAATTTGCATGTCATCCTTGCATAGGTACCACGCTAATTTTTTTCCTATTTCATTCTAATTTTAATATACTTGCTGCCAAAACAAGCACACACACACAGAAATCTTTCGTGCCTGAACAGTTTTGTATCACATATTATGTTTATCATTCCATTTGAAAAGCTATTTATTTAGTATAAGGGCAGAAACTAAAAACCAACAAAAAAAAAACCCCAATACACCACAGGATTCTAAAGCGGAATCCATCTTTTCCTTGCTTTCCCTTCAGAAGAACTCTAATTAAAGGACTGGTTACAGAGGACTTGCAGGAGTATCTTTTATGAGATCATAAATATACTATATATACTGTGAAGGAGAGGTTTTTTGTTTTGTTTTTTTAACTCACATTTCCTTCTTATGGAGTTTTATAAGAGTTTAGAATCTTGTAATCCAAAATTTATTTGTAATCTGCAGTTACTTACATGATTTTGTTTATTTTATATTAAAAATACCTATTCAAGTTCTAGGCACTTGTACACTTATTAGAAATGCCAAAAGAAGAGAAATACCTTTTATTCAAAAGATAACTGTCCTAGACCACTTCATACTATAGTCCACCTAGCATCACAAATAGCACATTTCAAAATTGCAAACTATTTAATACCCCCACAACCAATGACCCCAAATTCCTCAACCCATAGCTCCCTGTAAACCCCAATAGACTAGAGGAACCTGACTATGTGCCCAAAGAAAGAACAAAACTAGGCTCTGATGATCGAATGAGAATTGGAGGTTGGAATCCAGCAAAACAGATGCTTAATTTTAATTTATTTGAGGAATTTGTTCAGTTGATGAGAATTAAAGAGGAAATTCATAACTTTTGAAAAGACCATGCTGTAAATGCTGTAAAGAGCCTAAGGGAGTTTGAACTTTAATGGGATTTCTGTGGTTATGGCTCTCTCTCTCTGAAGCACCTTCGAAAATTTCAGGTCTTTATCTTTAAATTTAATTGCAAAGCAGGACACACTGCTGAATGTGGCAAAAAGTTGATTCTTCTTTCATCTCTTTTTGCCTCTGTATGAAAGATGTATAGTTTTTCAGTCTAAATTAAATTCACTTTATACTTACAAGACTTGACAGTCAGAGTTACAAAAGAAACCTCCATTATGTTGGGGAGAGGGGATAAATATTGTGCAGATTCTCATATACTTGAATTTTCCAACAGTGCCAAACACTATAGCCCAGCTCATAACAGAATTGAATTGTACCATGCCTCCTAATTGCACTTTTTGTTGCTATCACTTTCAGAAAAAAGGTTAAAACATTATTTATTATTATTTGCCAACCCGTATATCTTAGCCTGATCCAAAAACCTCTCTGAATTACTCAAAGACTATTCTTCGTGAGAGAAAACTGCTCTCAGCTGAAGGCAATGTAAAGTTGTTGTATACTGTACGAGACTCAAGCAGTACAGATTCACAAAGACGTGATCAGCTCTTCCTTAAAATGTTCATAATGTTCACATTTGGTTTTGTACTTACTTTTCCCCTTCTACATGACCACGTATCCCCTGTGTGACAGTGTACCCCATAAGGCTTTATGGGGAGGGGGTGCTTATAAATGTATGTATGACATAACTGGAATATGTTTTGTGCTGTCAGTGCCATGTAATATATCTCCGTAAAGGTTATGGTCTACTATATCTATTCATCCTATTTGTACATATATATCATTTTCTACTTGAGGTTAAGAATATGGGCTGTATGCTTGCTTGGTTTCTAAGTAAGCTTTGGGAGGCATTTGGTCAGCTTCTTTGGGAAGGAATTAGCCAGGTTAAGTACCTGATCAGGAAACACTTGGAGAACAATGCATCTTGGAATGCTCCAATCCACATAAGAAGTCTTCCTGGAGACATGCAAGATACCATGTGGACAATGGCTTCGGCCTGTAAAGACTGAGTCATGCAGGGACATATGACTTGCACAGGTGACTCCAGAACTCCATCTTGGAGCTGGACTTTGCATAGGAGGGAGGAGGGGGGGTCTCCACCCACAAGAGAGAGTCTATTTAAACCCGTGGGAGACCCCTCCATTTTGTCTTCAGCTGGCTAAAGAAGGAGCCTCTCCACCACCCCACCCCCCCCCCAGGATACTTGAAGGAAACTGG